TTCCTAAATTGATGTAAATTAAACGGCCTTTCAAATACCGTTTCGATACCTAACATCACTGAAGAGACATTAATTGTCGAAATCCGGATATGGTGTACAAATTTTTTGCACCTCATGTTTGCGGTATACCATCTTTTCCGCAAGTTTATTGTTTTCTGTTTGGTATTAAATTAATAATAAAGATCCATTTTGTTACACCTTTTGATCCGTTTATTTGGCAATCGCCAATGGCAGTCAGCAGGGTTTAAGAACATCCGTTATTCGACCTGTTAGTCAAATGCGTTTTGTTTAAATATACTTTTTCACTTTTTTGGTCTTTTGGAAAATGTTGTTTGTGCTGTATTTAGACCCCTCTACCAAGAAATTTGTTTTGCATGCACACGTATAAAAATTGCGGTTTTTATCCAACGCAATCATAGGTTTGAACGTTGTTTTCAATTTAGACTTATATATATATTTAATATATACTTAGTAGTAAATACAGATAAATTGTATGTGTAATACAATCATTAGCAAGCGTGCTGTATCAGCCACCCGTGATGATATCGATATCAGCACGGTTGCAAAGGCTTTATCACACCTTTAATCTGTATGACGTCACGTCATCGATTGCAGTCACTGTTGCAAAGGCTTTATCAAACCCCTTCTCTGTATGACGTCATGTCAAACCTATAATCTGTATGACGTCATTTCAAACCTTCTTATCTGTGTGACGTCATGTCACATAAAAAACATCTACATGAGGTATATGTATATAATAAAGTGTATATGATATGGCTTTTTCAATATCACATACCATATCAACCCTCAACCAATATAATCCCTCGAGCAGAGCTCTTGGGATTATATTGGTGTCTCAGGTTGATACGGATGTGATATTGAAAAACCATATGATATTCACTATATATATATATATACAAAAAAAAGTTTCTTTTCAAGCGGTGTACAGAATTATATATTAAAAATTAAATACACAAAAAGAGTTTTAAAAGCAGCATTGTCTAGCGCTTTCATCCATCTTGGGACTTTTCAAGACTATGAACATCGTTATGAACGTCGTTATGGGGAACACATTAGTATTATGACGTAACGTCATTGTTCGTAACATATAAGTAGTATGACGCAACGTTATTGTTCATTTAACTACTAAGCATTAAGCATGGCGTCAAACACTTTTATGAATTTTCTTTCTAGTTCTTTACGGTATTCTTCTGTTGGTTCCGTACATTTGAAGAACGGGAAAAATTTGAATTTTCCTCCCGCACAAATGTCTAAATATTCGCTCAACGGAATTTGTCTGTACTCGGGTTGCCGTATTTGCTGTTTATGGATCCTGACCCGTTCACACACACTATTTCCTGTTTGACCTATGTAGTTTTCTTTACAGTTGACACATGTTATACAATAGAGTAAATTTTCTGATTTGCAAGTCATATTTGCGTTTACTGTAAATTTCTTACCGTTTTTGAAATATATATATGTGTTCCCCATAACGACGTTCATAACGACGTTCATAGTCTTGAAAAGTCCCAAGATGGATGAAAGCGCTAGACAATGCTGCTTTTAAAACTCTTTTTGTGTATTTAATTTTTAATATATATACACAAAAAGAGTTTTAAAAGCAGCATTGTCTAGCGCTTTCATCCATCTTGGGACTTTTCAAGACTATGAACGTCGTTATGAACGTCGTTATGGGGAACACATTAGTATTATGACGTAACGTCATTGTTCGTAACATATAAGTAGTATGACGCAACGTTATTGTATATATATATTTGTGTTACAAGAACGGCGTGTTAAAATACTTTATAGATTTTGACTAAGAGATGTTTTGGTAAGATGTATATGGATGTTAAATATCTTTTATTAGTTTTTATGTTTATACGTCGTTAACCCTTCGAATTCTGGAATTTCCATGTAGTCAAAAGAGTTAATAATATTGTATTTATATTAATGCATGCATTGTTATCAACAGTTAAAGTATAAAATTATGCGAAAAATTCCAACTACCGGGGTTTTTCCCCTCAGTGCTTACTTCCTTATTTAATCTAATTCTTTATTTATTTAAAGAGGATTACCAACTGCCAAAGGCTACGTGTGGGTCTCCTCAACATAGATATATACAGATTCACAATTAACAAAGATTTTGTTTGTTTACAAACATGTTTAACACAAGACAAGACAACATGTACAGGACAAGACATACGAATGTAATTTGACTACATACCCATTAATCACTCACCCATTCTTACTCGCATGCACACGACTTTACAATCATGTTGAACTCAGTAATATGAAATTATGATTAAGGAAAATTTTTTTGAGTACAAACAGGTTAAATGAGAGAAAAAAAACCCAATAAAATAATAAAACATAATAATTATATATATATATATGTATATATATAAGTGCATGCATGTGTTTCTTACCTATTATGTTTATTACAAGGAAAAAAGATAATACAAATAAGTTATTGATTTATCCAGAAAACCTGTTTGAAGATTTTATATATCGAAACACACACTCAAACAGCTCTAAATTAGTATCATAAGACAAATCGTCACTACCTTCCATTAAAATTTTGCTCCGGTAGTTGGGACATAGATCCCGCAACATTGCTATATTCATATCTGGACAGATCAGAATCTTAATACGAAGCAGAAGAGTAATCTGATAGTTCGAGTAAAGGACACGGTGAATTAAATTATACTCAGTGCTTTCAATACGGTTACCTGGGCAGAAATCGCAAAACCTATTTAAAGTAAGATTACATTTCTACAAATGGTCATTAAGGGCACCAAGCACTGAGCGTAATATAGTATGAATCTTTTCTCATTACCATGCACACCTGAATATATGTTTTTACTGCACAAATTGATATTCTTATTAAACAATCTTTTGAAACACGCCAAAGTTGTTGCTGAAATTGGTTAAGCTGAAAAGCTTTTCCAGTCTCTAATCGTAGCTAGAAGAAAAGAATTATAGTATGCTTCTGTTTTTGACCTGGTAGGTATCAAGTTTGCATGACGTCTTAAGTTATAGTTTTCAGTGTTTTGGTGGAATAATGGATGGAAATTACAGAGATAATCTGGAACAAGTGATTTTTAATTTTGTACAGATATGTAAATCTATGAACTTTAAGGCGTGTTTAAAGAAGCTCAAGTCCAACCTGTTTCAATAAAGTGACATGTTTTGTGACCCTGATTGCCCCAGTAGATATAATGCAGGCACGTCTCTGTACAAGTTCAATGTTTGCAGAATCAGTACTAGAGCAGTTATCGTTGATAACATCAGCACAGTCTAGTAATGAACAAACAAATGTTTTATATAACTTTTCAATGCATAATTTAGGTAATAGGTGTCGCATCCTGAGAAAAGTGTTCAGTTAACTGTGACATTTCTTACATATATCAGCAATATGATCGGTCCAAAAAACATTATCATTTAAAATAAAAACTTAAATGTTTATAATGTGTAACTCTCTTTATATTTACATTATTTAAGATCAATGGAGGGTAATAGGGTATATTCTTCTTCTTAAAAATTATAAGATACTCAGTTTTTTTCTGCATTGAAAGTTACACACCATTGCTGGAACCATGTGTTCAACGTGTCGAGGTCACTGTTCAAAACAATCTGAGATGTCATCAACTTCCTTATTTGAACCCCATAATATTTCAAAATGAAAGGATTACTTTACATCAAAAAGAAACGATGATACTAAAGGGGAAATCATACGTCGTCGTAAAACAGTACATTAAACACTTCAATATAAAACTAAGGATCAGGAAACACAAACTCCGCAAAAAAGATAAAAATAATCAAAAGTAAATAATGAAAAAGAGAATAAAGAATTGTTCATATCTTTAGCAGGTAAAACGACACACAAATAAGTTTCCTCATTTCAAGTGAATAATGAGAAGTTACCTTTCTAATATGATATTCATTCAATGTTGTCCATCATATTTATAAAACAGAGATAACGAGGGCTGATTAAAAAAAAAACAACAGAAAAACCATAGCCAAAAATAAAGTTTAGTATACAAAACTATACAGAAAATAAAGACTGAGAAACACGAACCACATACAAAAAACAAAAAACATAGCTGATATCAGATGCTCCAGAAGGGAAAGCATATTCTGCTGCACTATTGACACCTTTTGTTATAATATTAACATAAATTAAACAAAACTTTAACCAATCTTTTATGAACTTAATGGTTTGAACGCAAAGTTTAGTGGACTCGTGTGTTAACAGGGGTAGTATCTTGTGACACGTTTTCAAACATTACATCCAGGAGCAAGAGTTAAATCCAGAAATATCACATAGCAATAAATCTGTCTTGTTGATAAATCCATGACAGAGTTGTACTTTTGATTTTAGCATCTGAGACCATGTACTAGTATCGATAAGCCATTTCATGAAGGCAACAGTAAAACTCCTTATATTGTTGGATTAGATATTTAGTTATAAGAACACGCTGAGAAAAGAAAAACGCATAGGTTTCCGCAAATATTAGCACTCAAGTATGGGAAGTATACAATTGCAAAACAGAAATTGAGTTCATCATTTATACTAATCATCAACGTTTCAACAAGATCAAGATATGAAGCAGATCTTCTTATGTAGGCAACAGGAGAAATGGTATACAAATTTAAGAACTCAAAATATAAAAAAAAAATCTAAATGTCAACAAACTTTTATCAATAAAGGACAACGTTCATTGATTGACTGAGGAATAATCTGTGGCAAGCAAATAAAAAGCATAACAAAAAGGACGTCATATTTAAACAAATATTAAGGCATGCTATCAATTAGCACAGATGTATATTTTACTGAAAGAAATGAGACATGTTTTACTCATTTAAAAGCAAGTCATAAATAAATTTAGTTCAGGCGAATAATAACTTCCTTGTAAATAGTTTGATTTTAACCCTTGTAATCCACTTTTATTATGACTTGTTTGATTATAAATGCGATAGTGTTATAACAAACAATGTAGTGCGTGCAAGTATAATGTTTCCCACTACAATACGAGACACTTAATAACGAATAACAAAAAGGTTACATCTAGGATAGCTTACACTTCAGATTTTGAACAATGGCGCTCGCCATATGCATTGCTTTAAGTTTACTTTCCTTGGCAAAAAGTGATCGCCATAATTGTTCAATATTATATAAAACTGCGGACTGCACCAGTAGAGGACTCATGTCCGTACCGAAGGATCTACCCATAGATATGATTTCATTAGATTTAAACCACAATGAAATTAGAACATTGCCAAACAATACTTTCGAAAGATACTCGATGTTATTAACAATAATTCTTGACAATAACAAATTATCTGTGATTGAAACTGATGCCTTTTCTGGAATTAAAAGATTGTTAAATCTCTCAATGGAAAAGAATACTGTTAACTTTACTGAATTTAACACTAATGAAACATTTCGCTCTCTTAAATCATTGGAGCTTTTAAATATTCGACAAAATTGGAAAATCATGGAATCATCGTGGACATATCCATATTTGGGACATTTAACTAATCTCATATATTTATATATTGACTTGACTAACAACCCGAATTTCACCTTGATGGATGTAAAGAAATTAACAAAACTGAAGATAATAAGATTTGAACATTGTTATTTAACAGCATTTAAAAATATAACTTTTGAAGATTTTCCTGATAGTGTGGAACAGATTTATTTTGAAAATATTAACTTTATAATTCCACATATTTTACTTGTGGAGAGTGACTTTTTAAGGCCGTTCCCAAATCTTCGCGTGTTAAGTTTGATCAAAATGATATGCAGTCTTTCTGATGCTTTAAAGATCGTATATCCTTTCCAACATAAGTCCATGCAAGCTGTGGTATTCAAACAAATTGGCATACCGCCTGGAAATTCAGTTGTACTTACAGAAGCAATGGTATCATACTTGAAAAAGGTGTGTGTCATAACACTGGTATTAGCAGAAAATGATATTGTTGGCCTTGGCCCGAACATGCTGGCGTCTTTTAATTATGCTCACTGCTTTAATACTATTGTATTGTCTGGAAACCGATTTTCCATTGTTTCTCGCTCAAATTATGGACTGTTCTTTGCTTTGCTCAATCAATTGACCAATCTAAAAATACTTGACTTTTCGTATAATCCAGTTAAATACAATAAAATACAGTATTTAAACATTCCATACGTATGTGGTACAAATCATTTTCAATCATCAGTCGAAAAAAAGCTGATTCACGAGTTCCAGACACCAAAACATGAAAGTGAAAAACCTGATCATGGTTACCAATGTATTGAATCAAAATTTAAAAGTAATATTCAAGATAGACCCCATTTAACTTTTACCCTTCCAAACAAGTTACATACACTTAGAATGTCATATTATTTATCGGTCAATGGGTATAATAACCAGAGACTAACACTCAAGAATGTTTCTAATCTACGATATTTAGATTTTTCTTACTTCCAAATGGATGTATTTGAAGGAATTACTTTTGATGGACAAGTAAACCTTGAACACTTAGATGTCTCTGGAATTGACTCTAAAATTCTTTTAGAAAAACCGTTCGTTAATTCGTTAACAAGTGTAAGTACACTAATTATGAGAGATGCTAATCTTGGTCAAATATTTCGTGACAGTGATCTGGTATCTAATATAGTTTCAACAGTGAACAAATTTGATATTTCTGGAAACAATATATGGTATATGAATGAATTCACATTCAGTAACAGCAGACATTTAAAGCATCTTATATTGGCAAATAACATTTTAATGGAAATCCCCCTTGCAGTTACACATATAGACACATTAGAAATACTAGATGTGAGAAATAATGAGTTACAGTCGATAAACGAAACGATGCGATTATGGATGGAAAGTCGAAATCAGAGAACGAAAAATAAATTCAAACTCTACCTTGCGAACAATATGTTCCTTTGTAACTGTGACAGTATGGCATTTATAACGTGGATCTTTAGATCGAATCTGAACTTTGATACTCATTCTAGAAATTATACTTGTCAACTTAGTAATGGAACTATTACTGATACACATACAGTGCACAATGAATTTCATCAACTATTTGTGCACTGTAGTAATGGTGTCTGGTTAAAGGTGGGTCTTTGGAGTCTTTTTACGTTCATAACCATAACAATCATAGTAGCTATTACTTTTAATTTTAGATGGCGCATTCTTCTTTGGATATATAAAAAATCTAGAAAAAAACTATATCATAATTTCCAATATGATATTTTCATTTCTTATGCCGACGATAGCATATACTGGATAACAAAGGAATTAATTCCAACAATTGAAAAGTTTTGGAATTTGAAAATGTGTATTGAAGACCGTGATATTTATGCTGGTATGTCTGTCGCTGATGAATTATCAAATGCAATTGAAAATAGCAGGCATTTTCTAATAATTATTTCTAAAGAATATAGGAAAAAATCATGGGGCAAGTTTGAAATAGAAAGAGCAAAAGTTGAAAAATTCACCAACAAATTACAGAAAATAATAATCATTGAGAGACATGCACGCAAAGAAGATTTTCCCCTAGAAGAACTTGCCAAATTTCAGAACGATATCACTATAATTGAATGGTGCGACAATGACAACACAAATGCATGGCATAAGCTTGGATTGACACTTTCTACTGATTGCTGAGTATTTAATACATGTTTTGCCATACCTCCAATATTGTAAACAGCGATCATACTTAAAATAATAGTCTTTTCGGTCCCTTTTGATGATATTGGAAATCTTCCAAGTCTCGTGTGCTGCATACCACCGAGTTTTGTATAGAAAACGTATGTCGCGCTCGAACTACCGTGGCATAAGGTTGCTTAACCAAAAGACCAATAAAATAGAACTTCAATACTGTTTCTGTAGCAAACATTGTGAACTAGCACATTTAAAGGTAGAAATTTTATTAGATTTTAATATGTTTCTTAAGACAAACTTGTACGTGTTTGTATTTATAAGATTCTCTTATGATGATATGTCATTCGGAAATATAAAATAATTTCACGTTTTATCATTGGACTGACGGACGCGGACTTGAGTTCCAGGGTAGCAAGTGCATAAAGAATTAACAAAGATTTTACTGAGAGTAAGTTTATGTCAACGTGAATTTTATATAGTTTACTACGAATACAAGTAGTACAGCAATTTCAAACAGTATTCTGACGTTTTAGATACAGAATTACAAATTATGCATCGGAACTTCTAACATTTTTAAAAGTTATCGTGGATACATATTTCTATAATTATTACTTTGATAATCAAGTTATGTGATTTGAATTTTTCATTGAAATCATTTGTGTGTACAGCACTTGACAGGGTTACACCACACACTTGCACAATATTAAATCGATATTCCGAAATGCTATGTATGTATGAACTCATATGAACAGATATAGTGGGACTTAACTGACATTGTATTTGTAAATACTATTAATTATAAATACTTTAATCAAATTATAAACTTTATACGAATTCGTTAATTTTGCCATGATAGAACACATCTATAACTTTTTATATTGCTTGGATAAACTAGCACTAAGTGGTTGACTCTCAAGCAAGGAAGCAGTTGAAAAAGTACCCAGTATATACTGAGAATTGCAAGGTTATCTTGACGGGTTGTACTATGTTGTGGGATTGGTTTACTTCATGTCGCTGCAAATAAAGCGAAAACTTTACAATATAATGACAAATATCAAGGTAATTTACGCTTTTCAAGCATGTAATAAGTCCGGTATAAAACAAACAAAAGATTGGTTATTGAACTGAATCGTATTTGTCCATTAAAAGTTGCATAATTCCTTTATAAAAATAGTGATGTTATAGAAAAAATCAAAAGTTGAAACTTATCATATTACTGCACGATATACAAAATGTAACTGAAAACTCTGTTAAGCCCTATCCTGTTTTAAACAGGTCAGTTACCACTACACCTTCCTGACGTCAGAATATGTCTACATGTATATTTAATATATAGTAATAGAATGTAAACATAGCCTTGAAAAACTGACCAATCGATGCAATGTACCACAATGCATTGTGGGCTACTACGAGTTTACTACAATTTAAAAACACGTGGAATTAGTGGGAAAACTGTCAACTTATATAGTGTCTGGGACTCTCATAATAAATATTTTTGTTAAGCCAATGTATTAAATGGAAAATATATAACATAATCTGCAATGATCATACTCAACTTTAAAATATTGTTTACTGACTACACAATTTGACTTTCTTTTTCGTCTTGTGAAAGTAGTTAAACAGGTTTTGTTCATTGTTATGCAATATACCTGTGCATTAATTTCACGAGAAACAGTGAATTTTCAAATGAAGTGACCAATTTCTAGTACAAAAACCAAGAAGTATACACCCGCTTTCATGGTAAAACAGCAATAAATAGTAACTGGGAGTCCGTAAGTCCGTCCGTCTTTTTGTTCATTCTGGTTGTTCGTTCATGTTTGTAGTCACAGCTCCGACCTTCTTAACCACTTATCATAATGAAATGAAACTATCTCAAATTAGCTCAAGTTACCATTTCAATGCCATGTTGCACTTCATATTTTGTTTCTGTTTAAAATTAATTTTGGGGTTTATTCCTAAACATGAACTTTGTCATTTCTTTATATGGGGGTACCCATATTGTATCCGCAACTAAACACATTTATTTAAAAACCAGTTGTTGGCATGACACGGGTTATGTTCTTCTCATATATGTTATGATGGTATGATACTAAACCCCTAACGGGAAGGATTGTGCCTGATATTCATATGATGAAGACATAATCTTTCAATCAGTTTAATTGAAGTCTGGAGCTGGCATGTCAGTTAACTGCTAGTAGTCTGTTGTTATTTATGTATTATTGTCATTTTGTTTATTTTCTTTGGTTACATCTTCTGACATCAGACTCGGACTTCTCTTGAACTGAATTTTAATGTGCGTATTGTTATGCGTTTACTTTTCTACATTGGCTAGAGGGGGAGGGTTGAGAACTCATAAACATGTTTAACCCCGCCGCATTTTTGCGCCTGTCCCAAGTCAGGAGCCTCTAGCCTTTGTTAATCTTGTATTATTTTTAATTTTAGTTTCTTGTGTACAATTTGGAGTTTAGTATGGCGTTCATTATCACTGAACTAGTATATATATTTGTTTAGGGGCCAGTTGAAGGACGCCTCCGGGTGCGGGAATTTCTCACTACATTGAAGACCTGTTGGTGAAGTTCTGCTGTTGTCTGTTCTATGGTCGGGTTGTTGTCTCTTTGACACATTCCCCATTTCCATTCTCAATTTTATATATATTGAATTCATATATTTGGGAGCAAACGTACGATTTTTATCATTTTTTAAGGGGGAATGGGGGGATGGAATGGCACATCCTGCTTTTTTTTAACAACAAGAAAAAGGATCAAGCCTGTTTATTTTCAATTTATTTACACCCGCCGCCCCCCCCCCCCCCCCCCCCCCCCCCCCACCCTTTGCCGTTTTTCCCCAAATAAAAATCAAATTTTGGTTGCTTACCTCTGAAATCTTTTTCATACATTACTTACTGGCGAAGCTGCATTTTAAAAAGTCTCAAATGTGTATGACATTCATCTTTAACTTGACATGGTTCTTTTTTATAAAATTATTAGATTCTTGAATTTCTTGAGAAAAAAACTCTCGGATGAAGGGAAGTGAAAAAAAAGTTTGTTTTAACCGTAACTTACATTAGCTGGTATATGGCCATTTAAGTTTCTAATCTGTTTAATATTGCTACTTTATCTAAATGCAAAATGTACTACTTCTTTCTTGAAACGTCGTACAAGTCAGATACAAAACAAAGGTAAAAAAAACAGACCGGAAACAAACTGCCGTATCGTTCTTCCGCACTTGTAGTCAGTTGACTACTCGTGTAGAAAAACTATCCGGCAACAGTTGTT